TCGTCGTCAAATCTGCGAAAGATTGGCAGCCCCGGCATTAATGAGCCCCAGTCGATCCCAGTGTTCAATGTGGTGGCGGGGAAAGTGAAGTTCGTGTCCATCAAGTATGCTTTGGATTGTATGTACTACCAAGACGGTAGAAGACGTGTCCCTACAAATGTTCGACTTGGTGAAACTATTTTTGACGAACCGGTGTCTGTTTCGTCGCAACAGGCCAAAGGGACGCGTTCTGAGGAGTATTCCACGTTATTGCCAGATCAACTTAGTGACTCGGATGAAAGTGACGGTGACGAGGACAGTGTCCCACTCCCAGTTTCGGTTGATGTTCCACAAGAGCGGAAGCGCGAGCGTAGCCCTGCTACTGAAGTTGACGCTGATCTGATATCGTTGAAACAGCTACGCACTTCGTACACGGTAACACGTCGATGTTACGGAGTATTGACCATCTCATTGCTCTACGGGAATCAAACCTCTCGTCTATTGGCAGCAGTGCCTTCATCTCGTACGGAGGTTCGAGCACTGGTAAGGCCCAATATCAATCATCATTTCCCCAGCGCGTGATTCACAGTCAGCTTGGCAACGGTACGTATGCTCACGACGAGCCCCAATTATTGCTTGAGACTCTGCAAATTCAGCATGGGTTATTTTTGTTATTTGCGTTTTTGCCACATCCTGCGATCCTTCGTGCCTTTTACAGTTGGGATGTTGGGTTACGCGGTCTCTCTCTCATGCATTTTGCATCGGTCGCTGGAGGAAGCAAAAAGGTCTCGACGCACAACATGACTGATTTTTCCAAGTCTGCAGCACTCCCACCCGCCACAATACCGCATGATCTCAGCACTGTAATTGATGCTATTGATGACATGGCAGCCGGTGTTGCTACCGTTTACCTTCCCTACGTAACAGAGTTGGTGAACTCGGCAAGGGCGTTCGTCGTTTCTTTGAAGGCGAGAGGAGGATTTTCTACTGCGGAAGCAAGACAAGACTTTGTTCACTGGATTGATGAGCGTTTCGAGAGAGTGCGTGGTTTTCTCGCTCTACGAGAGGTGGATAAAGCCCGGCAAGTCTACTCCGAGTTTCGTTCGCTGAGCCTTCATTCATTCGGGTCATGCCGTTTATCACGGAGGCAAGAATGTCCGCGTTAGAATCGCTTCAAACTGCCCAATTACTTAACCGGTGCAATTCGGTGGGTCCTTCGGTCAGCCAAGGCCGCAATAGCAAAGGCAAGTCTCCAGTTGAGCCGAGCCCCCCAGTTCCGCAGGAGGAGCTAGCGGTATTACCGTCGATGAACGGTCAAAGCCTTTGTATGTGATATTTGTCGAATACCCCCTGTCCGAGCCGTCCAAAGGGCTGCTTTTCCAGGAAGAGAGGTCATTCTCATGGTGTTCGCCCCAAGTAAAAATCCTCTTTTCCAAAGCAAGTGAAGCGTCCCAAGAATCACGCATCCGCCCGATTGGCCTTGAACCCGCTCATCAAGCAAATTCGGAAAGGCCAGGACGCAGGTCAGTATCTAGTACTTGATATTGATCTGTTGTCGATATTGGAAAATGTTACTTGTAGTCCGTTTGGAGCTGTCCAGAAGGGCACCACACCATTGTAGGAAGATGCATGTGCTATCCATGACTTTTCTTATCCTGAATGAAACTCAGTTAATGGAAATACTGTGGACGATGGAGCCGTAATTGTCGTCTACGAGGTGCCCCACGAGCTGGCCACACGCATTTTGGAGTTGAAAGAGAATTTCCTGGAATTACTAAGCGAAAGTATGGTGACGTAACGGGTGCTTTCGGCACCTCGCAGTCACGTGGGTCGATTTGCAGGAACTATACCTGAGCTAGGTATTCGGATCATTGATTTATGGTGCTCGTTCGGCTGGACGCTCTCTCCTC